AGAAAACATCTGGATTTTAGAACACTTCAGTGAATATTTTATCAAGATTTTCAGTATAAATATATAATGTAAGCAGACACAGAGTTGCCCTACCTGTTAAGGCGTTAGTGGTGGTTAGTGTAGCAGGACTGTGTGAGACCAAAAGCAGATCTTGCTCAAGAAAAGCCAGATTGCTTTCATGTCTGTAAAGAACGGAAATTTAAGGGTGGAAAGCTACCCAAGCCAGAAAAGCAGCCAACATATCTGTAGGTGACTGAATAAACCTTGCCAGATCATTAACAGGCATTGGCAGGGATAGGAAATGTGAAATTGTTTTTGCGTGGCGGGATTTGGTTGAAGTGGAGTGATGTAAGGCGAATTGGCCTTGAGGTTTACAAGCACGCCCTCTTTTCTAGCTTAAAAGAGCCACAAACAACAGAGGAAACCGAGGCAAGGACACCAAGCTCGGGCCTCAGCTGGTGTTTGGGGCTGCGGCTGTGCATGTTGCAGAGCCTGACATGAGCGTGCTGCAGAGGCTGGAATCCCCCCTGGAGCTCTGCAGCTGATGCGCCACAGGCTGCACACTCAGGAAGGCTCCTTCTTCCTTCCTGGCTTGCTGGAAAAGGTCCTGAGAGCTGAGTGCCAGCCTATCCCGCAGCACTCTTCTTACGCATCCGAGGTGCTTGGTTTACCCATTTGTTGTAGAAAAGCAACTTCTATGGGTCTGGCGACTATTCTCCGAGCCACTTAGTTCTGTACATTCCTGGCCAGATCTTCCAGGCATGCTTTAATTATTAAATAAAAAAAATATTCTCATTGAGCAGGCAGAATAAGGAAAGAACTGTTCCAAGGAGAAATGTATCTTGCTACAAATTTCATTTTGTAAAACATTAGGTTATTCTTTGTGGCCTCTAGAGCTTGTAAAAAAATGTAGATATTGTCTTTTTTTCCCCTCTTTAACCAATAGAATTTGCTGTTCTGTTATTCAGGTTATTGATTGTCAGCAATTCCTACCCAGACCTGTTTCCTGAAGATCCTTCAAGAAAGGAATGTTAAGATAGGAGGTCATCTGATGATGTCAGTGTGCACTACTTCTGAATCCTGGTACACGCTCACTTTTGTGTATTAACACATGATGCAGAGGAGCAAACGTCTTACTTCCATACCCAAGGTTATGGAATTTATCACTGCAAATTCTTGGCAAAGATAAAAAAGTTGACAAAATAAATCCAATGAAGTGGGAAGCAAATAAAACTCCAACACAAGTGTAATGAATGGCAGAAAATATGTCTCACTGTGAGACAACACTTCTGCTTGCATCAGAGAACTGTACAAAGACATAGATGTTTGTTTGGTAATGCCATTATTTAAGAACCTGTTTAACGATCCCTTTTTGCTTTTGGGAAGAGTCACAGAACTTTACACTGGGAAGTGCTGACTTCTTTTAGAGCGATTCTGACTCCCTTCCTGGCTCAGCTAGCATTTATTACTCTGCTTTTAGTCTGTTGCCCTAGACGCCTGCAGAAATCCTTAACACAAAGCCAGCTATGGGTCTCCTGTTACTGCTTCCATTGCTCCTGAAGCGCCGGCTGCTGCGTCTGACGCAGGGCAGCCTGGGGTGCAGTGGGAGAGACGACAGAAATGTCCTCTGGGTCAGGTTCCTGAAAAAGAGGTGGTTTGGCTTGCTCTGACACATGACGTGCCATCAGTTTGGTCATCTTAACTACCCAAGCTCTGCCTACTGCTGGGGACTCAGGATTTGATGACAGTCTGGTGACTACTGTTCTCCAGCTGCGGGATGGTGATAAGTTGGAATAAAGCAATTAACCACTAAGATTCAAAGCTTTTAAGATATATTTTTGATTTTCAGTGAGATGTGCCCTAAAGCTTCTCTCTAACCTCGTATCTATTACAGCTCGTAATAGTATAAACCCACTTGGGTCTCTGCAGGGCAGTTTTCCACCAGCAGCTTTATGCAGATAGCGTGGAGGAAGATGACCAAACTCCTCAGCAGATGAAGCCCATTAGCACAGGACACCTCTGTTTCAACAGATCAAAAATAACTCTTAAAAGTTGTAGCAAAGAATCTCACTCAGATGCCCCCCAAACCTCAGATGTTATCTGGGACACAGGCCAACTCCTTTACATTTCAGGCCCTCCACCTTATGGAAACCAATCAGGGATCGATAGTGCACTTCTAAAGGGAGCGCTCACTTTAAAGAGATCTTTACTTGTTGGCTTGCAGCTCCAGCATAATAAGCTGGTAGGATGTTTTACATGTCTGACTCTCCTGTGTCTCTGCCACTCTACATCCCAGATGCTTCCCTCTCTTTCCTAGCCTATCCCTTCCAGATAATGGGTATATATTTTTTTCCCTTGGGTTGCTTTTAGGTAACTTGGAAGTGTACAAACCAGAAGAACTACTTCAAAACGAGACGGCAGATGTAGTCTTATCAGCTTCACCAATTCTTTCATTCTGCTGATGCATTCGGCAACGCCTGACACAGCATCAGGACCGCTTCAGCTGTTACTGGATGGACCGGCAGACAGAACCCCAGCCTTGTCCAAAACGGGGTACCTTTTCTGTGCTTCTTACTAGGGATGCACCAGCTTGAGAAGGGATCATCTCCTCTTCTGGGAACAGCACACCCACTGAATTACAATCGCACCGGGCAATTCTTGCCCCAGAGCACCCGCTGTATCCAGAGACCATCTCAAATCTACTTGGTTGCCTCCAGACTTTACTTTCTTCTCGTTCTGATCGTAAGATCCAGAAGACACAAGGTCAGAGCAGGGGAGCACGAGTGCAAGGCTAGGTCGTAGCTGGAAACACAGCTCCTAGATGGGAACCATCATCATTCGGAATTCCTTTAGGAAACAACACACTGCCCTCGGCTATCCTTCTTACAATCTTTAGGATTTAGGCTAGGGCGGTAAAAGACTGATCTGTAACGCTGTGAAGCCCGTTTAATAAAAATACCCTCAGATGCTTTGACATAGCCGGAGTTACCCACAAGCTGTGCAGACTGCAGCACTGTGGCTGAACCCTGTAGACAATCCGCACACTTTTTCTTGCTACCCTTTGCTAGCAGTGCTCTCCCTGGACCTACAGAAAAACATTAATAGCAATTCATCACGCAGAAGTCTAAGGCTAATCTTAGCTCATTTTAGTGGTGAGCGTTGCGTCCTCACCCTACCGGTATTCCACATGAATGTACCCTTACTAGACTTTATTTATTTTCATAGTAAACACAATTCTGCGAAAAGCTTTCCTATGCCCTCTGCTGGTTTTCCAAGGTACCCATTTTCAGCTTAGAGTTAAAACTCTTCCTTTAAAATACCAGTAGGTTTCCATACCCCTCCTCCATTTTCTTCTGACTAAACTGCAGTGAGACGTATAGGGCAGACTCATAGGTGCATACTACACAAATTGCCTCCTTCAGCTTCCCCTGTCTTGCCAAATGACCACCAATTTTCATTTTTGCTTACTTGCATTTCTTTCTGAACTAGACTGTTCAGGAAATTCAGGCAATCCCCATCTTTTCATAAGGAGTGGGCTCCTTGAGCAAACTCGCACAGGGAACAGGGGTTTCCTTTGGTTGCCCTTTCATGTTGAGGAGACAGCAAACTCCATGCACCTTCAGCCTGAACCTTACGGACCCAAGGTCATCTGACATTGGGTCAGTTATCTCCTCCTATTTCTGCCTTCACTGCCAAGACTCCTTGAACATTGACCTTTAGGACTTTGGCAACTCTACCAGGTTATGCCCAAGACTCTTCCAGGACAACTGTCCTGTCCTTAATGTAAGTTTTGGATATTCCACCAGTGTCTTCCAAAAGCTCCAGACTGAATAACGCCTTGATGCTCGCTGCTGACTTATACGGGCAAAGATTCTGGTTGCCAGGAAAAAGGAGGTACTCATTTATCAACCCAGCTTTAGGTTAAGAATTCGGATATGAACACAGGCTTTCTTTAAAATTCTCTCTGCTTCAGTTTTCCCTTCCCTCAAATCTGTACTTTTAAAAATGTATTAGTCACTTGACTTTGTAAATGCTGCATCAAATCTATAGCTGGCATTACTGATCAAGTTCTGTCTTCTCAGTAAAAGCAGGAACAGCAAAAAAACTTCCAAGGCAACGGAACTTACTAAAAAAAGAAGAAAAACCCAGAAAAACCACAAGACACTCCACCACAGAAAAATCCACAAAACAAAAATAAATCGCATGCGCCTCCGTTGTGAAATGATCACTTTCCTAAGAGTCCCATAAACACAGCACTCTTTCTGCAGCGCTGATGTGCCAACAGTACGACTTTTTCTGAACTTACTTCTTAGGCAAACTTCAGTGGATTATTTTAAGAGGTCAAAATACAATGTTAACTGACAAAATCTCCCCCTACCCTTCCCAGGGATATTACACACACACCATTCACAGGAGAGGAAGAAAACTTCTATAAAAATCATGCCAACGAAAGCCACTATTAGGGAACCCAGAGCAATCCTAAACCGCGGAAGTGCAACTTGACTGCAAGCGGCTGCAGCCGCCTCCACAATGAGTGGACGGGCAAACAAACAGCAATTTGCCTGTGGCGTGCACCCACGGTGTCCAGCACACGACTGCTTCGTGAGGGCTTCGTGAGCTAGCTTTGTCTGGAAGTGCCCACCGCCTTACGCGAAGGCCAGAAGAACTGGTAAGGTCATGGAAGCTTTTAACACCAGGACCGGCTGCCTCAGCTCTTTAACAAGCAGGTTTTCTCTGTACCTGCTTAAGCGGGAGAGCGTGCCTCCACTCGAGCCAGCACACCCCTCGGGTCACTTTCCTTCAGTGAGATCATACGAAACACCAGTACTCAATGGGAACAAGAAAAGCCATCATCACTAGTTAGCTTCAGAGTTTTAATCAGGAAATCTTTAACAGATCATCAGAAGTTTTGATTGACATTCATCTGAATGTTATAGTAATTTTGAGCAGTTTTTAGGTAATGAAAATTCATTAAATTCAACATAAAACAACTGCCCTGTACATTATTAATCCAGCCCTGAGCTGCAGCATTAAGCACGTACAGTCAACTGAGGACAACATTAATTCTGGGGTTATGTTTTCCATCAGCGCACTTCTTCTAACAACATCACTTAACCCTCCCAGAATCTCTGCTCTCAACTTTTCACCTCAGTAGTGCCAGCTAGAAGTCCAAACCACCCAGCTGACTTAAGTGAAAACCTTCACAACACTCCATCTCAGGCTACTAGATCTAACATCTTCACTTGGCCTCAGCCACGCTGCAGAATTGGAAGCTGAAGATATTCACACAAATGACAATGTCAGCTGCCCCACGGAAGTGGATTGCACAAAGATGGGCAGCAAGACTCCACATGCATCTTTATTCATAGCCATGACTACTTTGCCACATACTCCATTCAAGATATTTTATTTTTTAAGTTAGGCCAACCATCATTTCACCAGAAGGACAAGCTCCCCACTCTTCTTCTCACAGACAGGAAGGCACACCAGCATACACAGCCCCATTCGATAGGTACAAGTCCGTTTTAGTAACAGAACCCTTGGCCCAGAAACCATTAAAAGTCCCTTCCCAAAACCAGTTGCATGCAGCTCTCTTGGGGACTCAGAATCTGACTTGCACCCGGAAATGCATCTGCTTTGTAGCATTGTTACTCATTCCTGTCTTGAGCATCCACTTTGACTTCATCCTCTGCAGGTACTGCATATCGCGCTGCTGAGCAAAGACCGCCCCTTCAGGGAGAGAGGAGGAAGAGAAAGAGGGATAAATGGCTGTAAGCTTACTTACTACCTGCATGCAAACCAGCCTGGCTGGCCTTTTACATCAGCAGTTAGCTATATGTTTTCCTTCCCATACTGGCATGCTTCTTTCCACTTCTCTCTTGGGAAAGGCCAGTTCCCTCTGTGTTCCCCCATGACTTAAGGGAAAAGGTTGCTTTGCATTCCAACGTGCGATTCTTTTATTTCAGAAGCAGTTACAGATCACGTCACTGCTCCCCAACTGGAAAAGTATCCTCACTGTCAAAGGACAGTTTATGTTACGTTAACTAAATAGCAAGAGTAATGGTTTTGACAGGCAGAAACCAACACATCTTAGGAAGTCACCAAATACACAAACATGCACGCTAATGAACTGGAGGGCTTGCACAGAAGCTGCAAGGGATTTTGGACACAGCTTCCTGTAACTTATTCTGCTTGGATGTCAGGAATGAAAGGGAACCGAGTAGAAGACAAACTACTGCATAAAACCCCACAAATGTAAAACAAACTCAACCTATTTAATTTAGAGTGATGACATCCTACAACCTCCTCCTCCTCTGCAGAAACCTCACATTGTCACTTACCTGTCTGACTGGTCCAGCCCAAAGCTCTGTACTGCTGTAACACCCGACCCACTGCTTTCTTGTTTTTCGCAACAGCCACTGTTCTTGACAGACCAAACCGTTGCTTGTAGTATCTCATTAAAGAACGATGACCCACCCTCGCACCTGTTCAGAGGAGGGGACATCGTATTACACATAATGAAGCAGCTTCTGCAACGGAGTATTTGAGCGTATTGGGAAAACTGTGGAAAACTCCTTATGCTGAGAAATGCTTTTAAAAGGCCTTCAAAAAATTTAGGAATATTAGGAACTCAATGTAATTACTGTAAGAGCTGCTGTACTGCACTCTAACTTGAAGGAAAAAAAAAAAAAAAAAAAAAAAAAAAAAGAGAGAGCTGCTGTTCAAGAGAGCCTGAATTCAGATAACAAACAGGCAGTTATCAGAAATGAAAACTGTAATTAGGGGAATGAGCAGAGAGGTAATGCTGTTTCAAGCAACCAGGGAAGTAACCTGCTGATATTCAGGAAATCTTCTGTAACTGCACAGTTGGCAGCACTTCTCAGAATGAAAGGGCTGAGGTCCCCTCATACAAAAAACCCCCACCAAAACAAAAAAAAAAAAAGTGTGCAAGAGTGCCAAATGCTGTACAAGGCAACAGTAAGGTTGTTTAAATAAATTAATTTTACTGAACTAGTTTAGTAAATTAGTTACCAGCTGCCTCACTGCAAAAAATCCATACACTAGATAACCTAAGCTATAGCCTCTCCAAGTTGCATTAAAACAAGATATGGGAACTCTTGGAGTATACCATGAGAGTCACATGTTAATGAAGAGGTAATGTGGGCAAAGGAACCCCCTGCTTCAGTCCACATATAGAATCATAGTGCTTGATAGTGAAAATAATGGAAGGCGAGGACAAAACCCCAAAGACACAGAGATGGAAAATTACTTTCTCCCTTGCCAAAGGAAAAATTTACAACGATGACCTATGCTGCAAGTAATGGCTGCAGCTACGAGAAATGCAGAGAAAGTGCATTGTAACACTAATCCCATGCCTACCTGAAGGAAGGATCAGCTCCATGGTGTCATCATCATAATCCAACTCTCTCTCTGCTGGGCGCTCTCCAGGCACCTCCACATCTTCCCCATCCTTGTGATCGGGGTAACTGCTCCTGTGGAAGAGTAGCAGTGCACGGCTCGTACAGGGTGAGCAGCCACAGCTATCCAGACCCACTACACAAAAGAACTGCCATGCATGGCTACAGCAAGCCACAAACAACAGCACGTTTCACCTAGCCTGGGTTGAGAGTTCTTCCCAGAACTGCCCTGCCCTGAGCAGAGGCTGAAGGCAAGGACCACCCTTCCTTCACCCGGTTCTACAGCTCAGTGCAGTTCTGCTGCTGCACACTTAACAGTGACTTACGGTGAAAAGCCACCACTGTGCAGCCCACCAGCTCCGCACAGCTACTGAACGAGTGCTCCACTAAATCCACCTGTCACCATAATAGGAGGCATGTCTGACCAAACTGAACACAGCTTAGGCTACAGGAAGTTCAACAAGAGGCCTCTAAATCACAGCAGTCCTGTTTAACTCCAGGCTACTTAAAAAAAAAAAATAAATAAATCCACAGTGTGTATTAAGCCCAGAATCTGCCTAAAAGGTAATGGCAGAGACATTATGCCCTTTTACGGTCTTTGCTGGTGCACTGAAATCTAAATGCACTAACAGCAAACATACAAAACAGAATTCAAAGTACACTTTCATGTAGGACTGGTATTAGTGGTCACAGGAGAGGAGAACCGATCGTGTTGTTATGCTTACCTAGAAAAGTGGGGAACCAGCTACACAAGATATGCATCAGAACCAGAAACAGGACTAAATTTTAAGAATGAACAGTGGTTTCTGATGTAATATTCAACTGTTCTTTTGTCCATCCTCATCTGTGCTCCACTCAAAGAAAAGCATCCTCACCTAAAATCATAGAAGTCTGCAAATTCCAGGGCAGCATCTCCATCTGTAAAGAGTTTGCAGTGGCTTTTATCATTCATGTGAGCCTGTACCGCTTCTGTAGAGTAGAAGGATTTTCCTTTTTCATTGCACCAGATGCAGATTTTCCCAACGCCAACTTTCTCTCCTGCAGAAAACATTGACACTTCTATTGGTCTGAATAGAGCCTCCCTAGTCAATAATTAACATTTGTGTGATGCCGGCTTCCCAGCTTGCAGGCAGAGACTGAGGAAGAGCCCGTCATTTCCAGAGAAGCCCCACTGCTCCTATGCCTTGACCACAGGGCTCCATCAGCAGCAAGTCTGTGCATTGAAGATTTCACATGACAGGGTACGAATCATTATGTATTCTCAATAACAAAATTCATACTTCCAATACAGTTTTCTATCTGATACTCCAAAATTAATTTATTCTCATTATTTGTAGACTTCCAAGGAAGATAAATTTTTTTTTTCCAGCTTTTAGCTCTCTCACAAGTATTGTAAACCCATGAGGCAAATACTTGCAACTCGTTAGCAGGATAACACGGTTGATATGCACACTTTAGCAATAGAGTTTTGTCCTAAATTTCATGTTAGCTGAACAACTTTCAGACAGCTACGTGAAACATAGAGGGTACCTGAGCACACATTTGCTCAGTGGGGTTTTCTCTCTGTCCCACCAGAAAGCCTATGGTCCTGTTCATCATCAAAATACTGAACTAGACAGCACTCCGATTTTACACAACCCCCCCCCCACAAAACATTTTAAGTCATATCCAAGGGAAAATAAGCAATAACAGTATATAGTTATCCTGATGAAAAATCAGAGAACGTTTACAAGGCATACCCAGGTACTTGATTAGTCCTCTGAGATCCACAAGGTACTCTATGTCCGGAATGAAGAAACTGTGAGCTTTTGTCATATGTGCCACATTTTTCGTGAGAGATCTTGAATGATGGGGACAGAACAAGCAGTCTGTGACTGGTATAGCCCCAACAGCAGGCGTGCTTTCAGCTTCTGCCTGCTCCTCCTCCTCTTCTTCTCCCACGCTTTCCATCTCTTCTTCAGAGCCGATGTCTTCATCAGAATCCATATCTTCCCAGTCTTTTCAAGGAAGTTTAAAAAAAATATTTATTTACATGATTATTTCTCCCAAGCAAAACAAGTCCTAATTAAGTTAGAAAAAGTTATCATAGAAAATACTGCATCTTCTATTCTTATAGTTAAGTGCCACACAGTCACTTCCAGGTGCAAGCATATATCATTGCCAGGAAAACACATTTCTTTAAGTCGCACAGCAAAGCTCAAGTCTGCTCATAAAAAAAGTTGGCAGATCCGATATTTTTCCCCCCCTCCATTTTCTCAACTATTAACGCTTTATTGCTGTTTCAAAGCCTTAAATCTAATTCACCGCAGCACAAGAACACATGCATACACACACAACTCTTGTCAGAGTCATGAAAATACTCATTTCCAGCAGTGACTCAGCAGTGAGGGAAAACATGCTCCTGTTCACACACACATCTTTAACATCAGAAAAGAACAGAGACAGATGTCACAGATATACTATCGTATAACGTAACATAGTGTGTAACAAGATATACTAACAGTTTTACACATTTGCAAGATTACTGCAGAGCTCATTAACAGATAGGTGAACTGGCAGTCTGATTATACTGCTAGAGGGGCCTAGAAATCTTTTTTAAGGCGTTCAGATCTGTGGCAGTGAGCATTTCCCAGCACACTATTCCTCCTGGTCCCCTTCCAACTGCCATGTGCACATAGTGTTTGAGAACAGGGAACAGGGTGCTCCCCAGTGCCGGAGGCTGCTAATTAGAGATCTCTGCCATAGGATATAGCTTAAGAATTTTAAAAGCCTGACAGTGAACTAACAGGACTTGTAGGAAACATTCCTGGACAAACACTTAAAAGGAAAATCAACATGCAGAAACCTACTGAGATTTTAGTATTACAGTTTATGGCTAGCACATTAACACAAAACAGGTGCAAGTTGGCCCCTTCTTTAGATGTTAAGATGCATGTTCAGATGTATACATTTCTTCTCCTGCAAAACAGATTCCCTGAACTGCAACTGAAATTTCACCAGCATAAACCTGCTGTAACATGTCACAGCGGTTTCAGTAAGGAAGCTGGCATAGTATGGTCACACTTTATTCATATTTGTCCCCTCGCTGCAGTTTTATCACCCCACTCAGCTGCTCCAATAGATGCATTTGGAGCTGCACTGTAAACTACAGCACTGAAATCCTCCCGGTTAAAAATAACCCTTTTCTGGGAATTCTGAAGCTCTGATCTTTTCAGTTGTCCACTTCCCAGGCTGACCTCCAACAAAGAGCTGTATCCACACATGTGGTGAAGGTGAGGAAGCAGGAACAGGCAGTTGGGGTGGCAACCCTTAAACTAATTTTAATATAGATGCCAACATGCTGAGAAGCTATGCCACACTGTCACGTTATGGAGCAAACTTTGTCCTCTGGTCTTGATGGGCGGAGAAAAACAAAACCAACTCCACTCCCAGCTCCGTCCAACAGATCAGTCAAGTGATTGATGGGACAACAGCAAGTGATCAGGATCAGATTTTTGTTCATCTATTTTTCAGAAATAGTTTTAGGGTAACCTTTTATGTTAGGCTTCCTTACAGGAAACTTCCCCTGGCATTTTACATGGGAAATAGTGCTTACATCTACATACTGACACTCAGCTACAAGGGCCAGAAGGAGGATCCGGGGAACTACAGGCCTGTCAGCCTGACCTCGATACCAGGAAGGTTATGGAATGGTTCATCCTGAGTACGCTCACCAGGCATGTGCAGGACAACCAGGGGATCAGGCCCAGCCAGCATGGGTTCATGAAAGGCAGGTCCTGCCTGACCAACCTGATCTCCTTCTATGACCAGGTGACCCACCTGGTGGATGAGGGAAAGGCTGTGGATGTTCTCTACCTGGACTTCAGCAAAGCCTAAAGACAGTTTCCCACAGCATTCTCCTGGAGAAGCTGGCAGCTCATGGCTTAGGTGCACTCTTCACTGGGTAGAAAACTGGCTGGCCGGGCCCAAAGGGTGGTGGTGAATGGAGTTAAATCCAGTTGGCAGCCAGTCACAAGCAGTGTTCCACAGGGCTCAGTGCTGGGGCCAGTCTCGTTTAATATCTTTATCAGTGATCTGGATGAGGGGAACAAGTGCACCCTCAGTAAGCTTGCAGATGACACCAAATTGGGCAGGAGGGCTGACCTGCTCGAGGGTAGGAAGGCTCTGCAGAGGGACCTGGACAGGCTGGATCGATGGGCTGTGGCCAACTGTATGAGATTCAACAAGGCCCAGTGCCAGGTCCTGCACTTGGGTCACAAAAACCCCATGGAATGCTCCAGGCTTGGGGAAGAGTGGTTGGAAAGCTGTCTGGCAGAGAGGATCTGGGGATGCTGGCTGACAGCCAGCTAAACACGAGCCAGCAGTGTGCCCAGGTGGCCGAGATAGCCAAGAGCATCCTGGCTTGTATCAGGAATTGCGTGGCCAGCAGGAGCACAGAAGTCATCCTCCCCCTGTACTTGGCACTGGCGAGGCCGCACCTCAAATCCTGTGTTCAGTTTTGGGCCCCTCACTACAAGAAGGACATTGAGGTGCTGGAGCGTGTCTAGAGAAAGGCAACAAAGCTGGTGAGGGGTCTGGAGCACAAGGCTGATGAGGAGCAGCTGACGGAACTGGGGTTGTTTAGCCTGGAGAAGAAGAGGCTGAGGGGAGACCTTATCACCCTCTACAACTGCCTGACAGGAGGTTGTAGTGAGGTGGGGGTTGGTCTCTTCTCCCAGGTAACAGGTGATAGGATGAGGGAAAACAGCCTCAAGTTGCACCACGGGAGGTTTAGATTGGATATTAGGAAAAATTTCTTTACTGAACGAGTGGTCATGCATTGGAACAGGCAGCCCAGAGAGGTGGTGGAGTCACCATCCCTGGAGGTGTTCAGAAAACACATAGACGTGGCACTTTGGGACATGGTTTAGTAGGCATGGTGGTGTTGGCTTGACGGCTGGACCTGATGACCTTGGAGGTCTTTTCCCACCTTAATGACTCTATGATTCTACATAAGTAACTGTTTATATTCAGCCTTCACACACGTTAGTATCTTGTGCAGCTGGCAGTTCAGACACTAACACAGCAACACGAACTCCTTCATTAAGCTGAAAATTTAATCAACAGCAAGACCTTTTGTGATGGAAAATGCTGTATTACTACAGAGATAGGAGGCGGCTTTTACACAAAACCAACAGCAACAACATAGCTTACCCCAAGCTATCTACTGTCAGTGTACATTTACTGCCTTACCTTCTTCCATATCCTCCTCTTCCTCTGCTTGCTGTTTGGCCAGCTTCTTTGCTTGCTGTTCAAACCACTGCAGCCGTGGAGGTTTCTCCGATCGCTCTCTACTCTGCGATAAGGTGGCGCTTCTCGTAGAAACCGGAGAGCCGCTTGCGTTACTCGGAGGTAAAGGCGTCTTCTTCGGAGACGAAGACGGCTGAGCCCTGATGGCTTGCTGAATAGCTGCATTCATCTCATCCTTGTTTAAACTCTCTGGGGCCAGCCCCTTTTCCAGGTTCTTTTCATTTAATATTTTCACCTTCTTGCTGACAGCTTGAACAGCTTTCTTCTCCAACTCCAGGTGCTTTTTGGACTTCAAGTGATTCTCATAGGCATTGAAGGTGGAGAATCTCTTGCTGCAAACTGTGCAGTAAGTGGCAGTGATTTTGTTCTGCTCCTCTGCTACTGCTCTCTGGGCTAGGACTCTCTCTTGGAAATTCTCAGCAGTGACAGGAGGCATGTCAGCAACCTTACGCTTCAGGTTGTACCTATGCCAGTCAGTTTTGTAATGGGCGCGCTGAATGTCAGCATCCTGGAAAGCCACACGGCAGGTGATGCAAGTGTAGGTTGCCATTACTAGAAAGCTGGGGGGGGACAGGGACGGACACGGGACACAGGGCAAGTGTAGGTTGCCATTACTAGAAAGCTGGGGGGGGGACGGGGACGGACACGGGACACAGGAAAAAAAAAATAAATCATACTGATAAAGATAAGTAACAGCCACAAAAAACCCCAAACACAACATCCTGACAGCAACCATGTAAGGCGACATGAGAGATACAGTTCTCGTAGAGAATTAAATTTAGTAAACACCAGCATTAGCAAACAGCATAGTACGTACTAGAAGGAGCAAAAAAAAAAAAAATCAAATACAAGACTGATACAGTTATCACAGATTACTCCTACCACAGCAGCACCACAGCATCCCAGCTCTCAACCCAGCTCCCACTGTACTCGTGAGGGCTCGGACACAGGACGAGGAGCTTTTTGATGAAGATCAGAAACTAGACGTTCTTATCAAGTTCATGTTCTGCCAACTCTAGGTTTCTGAAGAGACTAACAATTGCTCCAAAATAAGGGTAAAAAGGGAAAATCTACTTTCCCAGCTATTTGCAATTTCCCACAGCCTTATCAAACAGAAAAATGTTACCGCATTTTAAAGTAAAAACCTTTCAGCTATTCAGGAGCAGCACGTGTGCCATTGGTGCTTTACCCTGCAGAACTGTTAATCTGGAGATGCAGACAGCCATACCTTGACCTAGCACTTGAAACCACTGCAACCTCTGGTCTCCCTCCACTTCCCATCACCTGGCTGAGCTGCATTACTGGGGCTGTCACAGGACAAATGTGTCACCTGTACAGCAACCTGTAACCAATGCTGTTCTTTCCAAAGCCACACATTTTCTTCCTTTTCAGTGCTTAATGAAACTTAACTTTCTTGAAGTTGACAGAATCTCTTGAATGCCCCAAAAGCAAAAAGAAAAAAAGTGCGTTCTAAGCAGAGGTCACTAAAGCCACCCCCATCTTTTAACCCGTTTATAAAACCTGTGGTTTAAACTGGGGAAAAAAAAGAAACAACAGGATAAAAGGGAGGGGTCTGAAAGCAGGTAGAGGAACAGCAGCCCCTCCCAGAAGCTACCAACAGAGAGGACCAGCAGTGAGAAATACAAATGCTCAGGGAGCTGGAAGGTACTTTCTAAAACGCTGCTTCCTTGGAAGAACTGGACTCCTAATATACTGCTTGCTCTGTCCATACTCCTGCAGTGACAGGAAACACACCAACAGAAAATGAAGACCACACTATTTTATTTGAAATACTGTAAACATCCACTCAGCCTAACAGATGCTTTTTGTTTCAGAGAAAAAGGTATTCCCTGCCCCTCGAGGGATCCCAACTGCTCCTGGCAGCGTTTCCCTCCTGCAGGCAGAGCTCCCCATCCCCACCCCACCCCAGGCAGGTATTTGACTGCCACAAGCCAGCCTGACGCAGGCTCACACTTGCTGTTAAATCACAAACTCCTTGCAAAAACCTCAGGGACAGCAGAGTTTGAGCCGCTCCGTCGCAGGTAGGCAGGAGCTACATACTAGATTACCCTGGGGGGATTGAAAAAAAAAAAAACCAAACCCAAACCACAAAACCACCCCAAAAACCAGCCCAGAAGAGGTATGCAACTGAGAGGCCCTAGGTCCACAACCCCTCACACCTGACTACCAAGCGAGGAAGCCAGGCCTACAACTCAAGCAGCCCAAGGCAGAGGCAGCCCCC